GGTACCACTTCAGTGGGCAGGTAACAGCGTTCCGTGCACTTCGGTGTTTAGTCATGCCAGCCACATGACCATGGAGATTGTCTGCGGACAAATGCTGGCTCCCTCGGCTAGGAAATGGAGATGAGCACCGCCCCCTAGAGTCAGGCATGACTGGACTTAATGTCAAGGGGAAACCTTTACCTTTACCTGAAGGTTTAATGATGGGCCTCTACATGGAGAGTTAATGATACTTATACATGTAAGTTATCCCTTTCTCCCAAAAAGTATAAACAGAAATTTGAAATGTCTTGGAGGAAAGTGGTATCCTGAGCAGCCATTCTGACCTTTTTAAAAACCATTTTAGTGCTTCTTACCTACCGTGGAGCAGAAAAGGGGCCAAAACTAGCTTCCAAACAAGACTAGTTTTTCATGCTCCACAGCTGCTCCAAAAACTATGAAAGGTATTTTGTTTGCTTGTTTGTTTTCTGTGAGGGGTGTTACCTGTGAGGGCAAAAATGGCTCCCGGACCTCCCAAATTTACCCACCCGTGCGTTAGTATGTACATTCTGCTGCTGTAAATAAAGAAATATACTAATAAATAAATGCACTTGGTTTGAAACAGTGTGCATGGACATGGTTTTTTCATGTGTGTTTTTGTGTTTACAAATTGAGGAATGCAGCTCAGTTCGACTCTGCGTATGGTATAGCTAGCTTTCAAATGTACTTTTGCCCCCATTTGATTTAAGGATCAGCTCCATGCTTTGATGCTGAACCTTAATTCACATTTTGAATAACTATATTCTATAGTCTGTTTTGTTTTGTTTGTTTTGTTTTCAGAAGCCAAGCCCTGTTGAGTTATGTGTTTGTGAACAAATTACTCTGCTTTCTATTTTTTCATGTCATATTTTTACTCAGAAAATACCCAAATCCCTTTTTAGTTATGGTTTATATAATATTTTCCTTGGCTGCTGTAAATCAACTGCAAAGCCTGTCTCAAGAGTGTGTTACATCTGGACACTTTGGAATTAACTCGGCTGCTTGGATGTCTGGGCTCTCTTTTCCCCTGCTGCCTTTTGTGCAGATTGTGTGGCTCTTCCATTCCAGTGCTTCTCACCTGCAAAAAGGACATCGTTCCAGCATGGCCATTTATTTTGTTCTTTTGTGCTGTGGTATGTGAAGTGCTAGATACCACTAAAATCCTTCAGAACTCCTTCCAGTGGCTAAGTAATTAGAGTATCACCTCACCATACCATGGCCTTTTAATTCCAGACTACCAAATCCAGCATCAGTAAAATGGTACAGTCTGCCTCAAAGCTGAGTATTAGATTCTAGGTTTGCTGGTGGGTGCTGAATGTTTGAAACTAAAGTCACAAATGGGGAAAGCAGTGGGAGCAGTTTTCAGTCACTTAATCATGCATGCGTGCATGCACATGTATGCATGTGTGCGCATGTGTGCAGAAGCGTGTGTTAATGTGCCGCTTGGCCTGAGAAATTCTGGAAAAAGGTTGTCCAGTTATAAAGTCATAGGAAATGAGGTTGTTTTAACAGCAAAAGAGAGCACAAGCATTTTAAGTCCCATTTATTTTATTGGGAGATGTTTCACCATGTGCTTGCCTCTGCCACTTTTCAGTCAGTAAGACTTAGAAGTGCTGAAATTTGTTTACAGTATGCCTTGTGATGAGTGCATCCGAAATATTTCTGTGGATTTCTGCTTGCACTTTGTTATTCAGTTCTGTCAGCTGAGATACTTTGGTGACCTCAGAGCTCCTCCCTGTATCGCTCACTTACCTGGATTAATTCACGGTGCTGTGGTGCAAGAAATGATGTGTCTCTCTAGCTAAACCTGAAGGAAAAGTGAAGATGGGGCTTAATTTATGCTAGAACTCATAAGAGGGTCTGTCCTGTCATTTGTGTTCTATGGCAAGCCTTAATACAGCCTTCCCCCTGTTGCTGTAAGAATAGATCAAGGTGTCTCTGAACATACTTGGAGAGCATTTCTCTTAATCTTAGAAAGTTAAGGACCAGAAGTATTACATGCAGACATTTATTCCTAACAGTATTTCCCTAGAATTAAGCACTGCTCTTCTTCCCCAAATGTTGCAGTTGCACATGTGGTCACACTCTGAGCCTCATGTGGACCGAAAGAGTGGAGTGGGAGGTAACCCAGATAATTTCTTGTCCATAGTAGAATGAGATGACAATGTGTCCAGCTGGAGAGCAGAAGAGAACAGGTTATCTATAGGGTCCTCTGCAACCATACTAAATCCACTATAATAAAGACAGAGGAGATTTGAGGTTTCAGTGCTGCTGTTTGAATGATTTGTTTGAATATTTTTAGTAGCTTTAGTGAACTGGCTTTGCTTTGATGATTTTTGGCTTGTCATCTGTAATTTGATTATGGAGATACATCACTGTGTTCATTGTTAGGGAAATAAATGAATCAATGAATACACAAACTAGCACTGGGACTCTCTTATACACACTTTCTTCACTGCAGCAGTTCATAGATCAGGCCACTGGGGATGCCATAACTGAGCATTTGTTGTTTAGCAAATTTGGCAGTAATTATTGAGAATCATTTAGCCTGCAGCCCAGCACAGAATTAAGCACGCTTAAGCTTATTTATTTCAAATGTGCTTAACCCTGTGTTGGACGGCAGCTTTCATACATTATGTTGCATTCAAATCTGTTTCTAAATAAGAATATTTATTTAAATCCAGATTGCAACAAGGCAACACCAGTTGCCTTTCCCTTTTTCCATATGCCCCTTAAAAATGGAAGTCCATTAAAAAATGGTATTAGATAAACAGTGTGACATGTCACACCCTATATCCAGCTGATACCGTTCTCCAACCTTTTCCAGTCTAGTGCCGTCCAGGTATATTGGACTGCAACCTCCATCATTCCCAGCTAGCGCAGTTAGAAAAGTTGTCACAGTTTAGATCCATAGAAATTAAAACCAAATGTTTCTTTTAAAGCCTCACTTCGGGTGCCACATCCCTAAATTATGTTCCTTCCCTCTCTGTTTTGACTTTTATATTTGAGTGAAAAAAAAGCATTACTGAGATATATTAAGCAACAACAGACATATGATGGCCATATTTAAGAAAAAAAAAACAAAGCAATTTATCATTGTAGAGAAATTGCTACTGATTTCCTTCTTTTCCTGTGCAGGCTTAGACCATGTTAAAGAGATTATGGACAGCAGAAGTAGCATGGATACATTAACAGGTCTTTCCAACAATAAAAGTAAATCTGGAAGTCTCTTAATTAAATGAAGTAGCTACAAGAACATGAACATATGAATATGTTAACCATCATTAAAATAGGTCTGGCACCTGTATTTACATTTTATGTGCCTTCACCCACCCACCCACACACACACACCAGTAAGAAAGCTCTGTGCTGACTGCATAATCAGACCAGGTACAGAACAAGGAACACTTTCACTCTTCACACTTTCCTTGTCAATGGTGCTTGATGTGTGTATGGGGAACCTGGCAGCTGGCCACCTGGCTGGAGACTAGCAGCCACCCCATGCATCTGGCAGGGGATGGGGAAGTTGTGAGTGATCGCCTGATTTCACTTTGCGGCAGTGGAGGTGTTGGGGTTTCCCTCTGTACAGAAGAGCTGTCTGTGGAGCTGGCTGGGGAAGAGGCAGCTCTCAGGCTAAACTTCCTGCAGGCTGTGTCTGCTGGCCCAGACCAGACAGTGAGAAGCAGCCTCTACTCCCTCGTTACCTTTGGAGGTCCAGTGAAATCCTCACAGTGTTTATTGCACTGATCTCCTGCAGCCACCATGCGGTGCCTGGACCATGAAGGTGTTTCCTTAAAAATCCATGGCTTTGCATCCAGGAGTTCTGAGTGTACTGCAGCTCATGTGAAGCAATGACTAAGAAGGGAGATCTCTTGTTAACAGTCTGTGAACTTACTGCTATGACACATAGCAGTGTCAGACCTAGAGTAGGGAGGCAAGCTGAGCTCCTTGCTCAACCAAGACACTGACGGGATTAGCTTGCAACAGCCCTTATCTTTTAGTTTTTTTCATCCCACGGGCTTATTGTCAACTGGGGAAAACTCATATATGCTGCCCTAAGGAAGGTCAGGGATTCATAATGTAAAGCTGTAAAAATAAAAAAGAGTAACAAATTATGATTAGTAATAGGAATGTTATTAGTGATATGTCATTCCCACCAAATTCACAGCATAGGGTCTGTATTCTTTCTAGCTAAGCATGAGGTTTTGCAGTACAATCTAACCCTGTACATATTTACTTGACTGTGTTTAGTGGGATTTGCTACCAAATTCTTTTTTGATCTTAAAGAATTGTAACATTTTAAGTAAAAAGTGCCCTTACCACCATCACCACCACCAAACCATCTGGCCCTTACACATTGCCCCTTGAAAATCACATTTCAAAAGCAGTTTTTGATGCAGTGTCTGAAATTTCACTTCTGGGTTCAGGGTGGTAGTGAAAAGGAAACTCGCAGCAAGCCCTGGCTCCCAAGAGCATGTCTTGGTTTTTGAACAGCTCAGTGCTTAGTTCTGGAGTGAGTTCCAGTGTGTTCAGCTGAGAAAGTGTACATATGAATTGTGTACTGATGCTGCAATACACAACTCATTGATTCTGTTTCCACTAATCCAGCAGTTTGTTTATCTTCTGCTGGGGAGATAACAGCCTGCGTGTACTTGTGACCTAGAAGGATTGCTCCAGAGTGCCTGTGTTTTAGTAAGGACCACTTCACACATTTGTGGCAGTAGAACTAAGTTTCACAGCAAGTGCTCGACTGAAAGGGTCTGCAGCCAACCCTGCCTCACTGACGAATGTACCTGTATGGCTGTCATGTTTCCAGACACATATTAGCCTCATTTTCATGCGTTATATTCCTTGGTATATACCCAAAGTGCATAATGTATGAAGCGGCCCTAAATTTTGGAAGATCTTTACATTGATATAAATCCCTTCTTTTCCAAACATACAAATCGGTCTTGATGGTGCTTTTGTTTCTCACTCACCTGCAGAGCCTGGAGTTTGCACTGTATTTGGAGACCCCCACTACAACACTTTTGATGGACGGACATTTAACTTTCAGGGAACATGTCAGTACGTTTTGACGAAAGACTGCTCCTCCTCTGCCTCGCCCTTCCAGGTGCTGGTGAAGAACGATGCCCGGCGAACCCACTCTTTTTCCTGGACAAAATCTGTAGACCTTATGCTGGGCAGCAGCACCATCAGCCTCCATCAGCACCTCACAGTGAAGTGGAATGGGACACGGATAGCCCTACCCTACGAAACGCCACACTTTCATATCGACTTGGAAGGATACCTGTTGAAAGTGACAACCCGATCAGGTGGGGCTGTGATGAGTGCTCTTGTTGCACTTCTAAGTCCATAGTGATAGGACAAGTATGATGCGGAACAGCCTTCCACAACCTGGCACCCTCCCAATAGGTCATGCCAGGTGGGAATTGCAGTCTAGCCCAGGTTGGGGAAGGCTTTTTTGAGTCTCTAAATGCCAGAACACTCTTGCTTGTTTATTGTTTGGTTGTTATTTATTTATTAGAAAAACTTGTGTCCCACTTTTCTACTATAGAATAGAGACCAAGGCAAATATCAAAATCAAACGCAATAATAATTGTGGTTAAAAAAGAGAAAATGTTCAGAAGATAATTAAAAGCTCAGATCAGCATAAAAAGCAAATTTAAGAAAACGTTCACCTCAACTGAACTGTCTTCATCAGGCAGAGGAAACTAAAAAGAGAAAGTTGGATGGACCTCCCACAGGATAGAATTCCACAACGGGACAAAAGCCCTCTTGCATAGATGACAAATCTGGCATCAGCTTGTGTCAGGGCACAGGGAAGAAACTCGCCATCAGATGATAGAAGCTAGGCAGGACGATAATGGAGAAGTCCTTTAGGTATTCTGGGCACAAGCCATTCAGGCAATAACCGGCACTTTATATTGGCCCTGGAAATTTCTTGGTAACCAGCATAGCCATTCTAGAATGACCATGATTTGCTCACATGGTTGCATTCCTGTAACATCTTCGCTGTTGCATTTCTGAGAACTGAAGCTTCTGGAGGTGCTTCATGAAGTTCCTGGTACACTAATCCAGTCCTGCTGTAACCAGAGCAGATGTCACTTTGGTCACTGTGGTTAAAGCTAAACTCCATTGCTTGTCTAAACAGGTAACCATTTTACTGCTACTGAGATAGTTTAACATTAACACAATCGGCTTTTATTTGTTTATGTATTTATTTATCCCCCACACATTTATTTCAACTGTTAGATACTCTGTTCGAAGGTTTGGGAAGGATAATATATCAAAATCAAAAGTCAGTGAAACACCTATTAAAACTCTAAAATAAAATCCTGGAATTGATTTTAAGTGACTTTTACCTGCGTAATACTGACTGTTTTAAAAAAGATTTTCAATTAAAATATTTTGACACTTTTCCAAGTTCAGTCCAAGTTGAACCAAGTGTAAATTCTACAGATGTCTGCAGCTGTAGGGCATTTACCTAAAATACTTCTCACTTGCATATTGATAATATCATCATGAGGACCTGCTCAGCTCATCTTAAAGGCAAATTCCATCTTGGGCATAATTAGTAATAACCTGCTAATATCATGGTCATCTTCTACAAATTGATATAAATATGGTGCAACTACACTTGGAGTATTGAGGTGTCACCATACCTCAAAAATGATCTTGTAGAACTAGAAAAGATTCAGCAAAGAGCAAGCAAAATGATTAACATGCTGGAGCAACTCCTATATGAGCAGAAGTTACATTTGATGCTGTTTGGATTAGGAAAAAAGAAGAGTAAGAGAAGATATGATAAGAGTGTCTAATATTGTGCAATGGGTGGAAAAGGTGGGCAAGAAAGAGGATAGTCACATGAGAGAAGGAGAAAGTTTTCTTGATCTTCCATAATACTAGAACCCCAGGTCATTCCATGGAGTCGAATGATGGGAGAGCCTTGGCAGGTAAAGCTATTCTTCCCACAGCACATTGTTAAATGATAGAATTTGCTCTTCCAAGGTGTAGTGATGTCTACTGGTTAGCCTGGCTTTAAAAGAGGATTAGACAAATTCATGGAGGATGAAGCTATTGATGGATACTAGTCATTCCGAATATAACTGTCAATTTTAGGGGCAATGGGCCTCAATTTGCCAATGGCTGGTGGACATGAGGCCGCTGCTGCCCTCATGGGTGGTTTTACGTGAGCAGAATGCCAGACTAGATGTCTCTTTAGTCTGTTCCAGCATGGCTATTACGTTCTTGGCCTCTTACGACACCTTAAATTAGATCGATATATTCTCTGATATTTGATGGAGGTGTTTTATGCATTTGTAGAGGCCCAAGGGTCTGTTTTAGCTATTTTGAGATACATTGAGATCCAAGAGGAGAAACAGGTTGTGCATTTTATAAATAATGAAAACAAAAATATCAATGGGAGAAGGTATTCTCCAAGGCAATCCTGAACTACTTGGGAACTCTAAATATACCCCATCAAAAATGTGGTGTGGCCCACCAAAGTTTCTGTTTTTGATGCTGCCCTTGTACTGCAAGGACAGCAGAGAAGGCCAGGCTGCTAGATCGAATTGAGCATAGTGGACCATTCACTGAAGAGACCTGTGTTAGTGCATGCAAGGTCCAAGTCATATAGGGCTCTTGGTCCGAAGCAATAAAAAACTATACATAAGCCTACATACTTTGCAATTATTATTAAGCTTTCCAAGGAGATATACTGAAGGGAAAATCTCCTTGCAAACTAATCTGAAATATATTTTCTGTATGAGGTGCTTTCTTAAATGACAGTTCATTGTCAATATTTGAAACTGCATTTCTTCCACCTCCACTGAAATCTGAAGACTTTCATTTGGTTTGGTGCTGAAAATTAACTAATGGTCAAAGAGGGCATTAATTCCCCTACCCAGTTGATTCACAGTTTATGGGAGAGGCATAAAACTGAAAATGCACAATGGACTGAATTTGACATGCGGAATGGGAGGACATAGATTATCTAGTTCACTAATATTTCATTATGTGGGACAGGATCATCTGTTCTCCAAATCCTAAGCAGGCATTCACTTTCTCTAGAGTAGCAGTTTTCAGACTTTTTATTGTCAGAATTCCTCTTCTGTCCTTTAGTTATTTTTATTTTATTATTTCATTTCTATACCACCCCACAGCCAAAGCTCTCTGAGCGGTTTACATTTGCTAAGGAAGTACCATTCATCAGCCGTGAAACATTCTTGGATCGTGGAATATTCTGAAGCATGTTTTATGCTATACAGTCAGCCTGCACAGACATGAGCTGAGAGTCTATCCATTTTGTTTTTTCCTATGGGAGTTTGGGGGATTTTTTCATTTAGAAACACTTACTTTCCTCCTCCTTCGTCATCGTCTTCTTGAAAAGCATCTTGTGGGAGACTCAGGGCTATAAAGGGCTGTTTGCTTGCTTGTTTTTACTAGCTACCTAGATTGGCACTTTCAGCAAGTTCTCTGCTGAACTCATAGAAATAGTAGTTGTCACTGTCGCTTTCCCAGTTCTAATAGAACACAGCAAAATAGAGTGCTTAAGAGAGGTATCAATCCATAGGAAAGGGGTATTAACCTATAGGAACATCTATGCAAGAAATAAAAATAGGTTCATTATTAGGAAATGAGATCCCTGAATCAGCTCAGATTCAGCCAAATATTGAATTATTTGGCTGAATGCCTTTCCTTACTACCTGACTGAGATCTGAGTACCAAGCAGGAATGAAAAAATGCATATGTTCCAAAAGTGTTTTGCTTCATGTTGTTTTATTTGGTTTCTTTATGCACCCATTAAAAAGAATCAACAGAATTCCTGGGCTTACCGCTTAACTTTTTTTAAGCCTCAAACTATCCCAGCCAGAGAAAAGTGTCAGCTCCTGATGAAACAGATCAATCCATAGCTTACAAGACTGCCAGAGGCAAGGCTTGTGTACAGCCAAGCAAGAAAGCTTTTGCACATGAGGTTTTCATTCCTCAGCAAATGGAAATTGATTGGAATCACCAGAAAGGGCAGCATTTCTACATAATGCCCCTTCCCTGGCCAAGAGGTTTATTGGCATGCAAACTGGGAATTCTGGGGAAGGCTGGGTGCTGGTTGCTAAGGTAACAGCTATGGATAATGCACACAGAATCGACTTTGCATGCTTTGCCAATCTCCCAAATGGAGTTTGACCCTCCTAAAATGAATCATCAGAAAGCTCAGACTCATCAGTGCTATCCTGAACAGCTTCAGAAGATTTCTCGCAGCTCCCCACAACACTGTTTGGAAACCTCTGTCCTAACAATAATTATAGCATAAGCAGGGATCAAGAATAAGCGAGCACCATGCCAGAGGTGCTTGTAGAGCACAGAATAAGTTTAGCCAAACATGTCCAACCCAAACAAACATACGAAAACAAAACAAATCCAGAAGGCTTTAGCAAGCTCACTAGCCAACATGGCCTGCAAGAAAATTCCTTGCTGAACCAAAAATTGCTATGATGTTAGACCCCAAGTGTGAAAGAAAAGCTGTTTGCCGTTTCTCCCTCAAGAGTGCTGGTGTTGTGTAACATCTGTCTGGGTTCATTTTCTGACTAAATGAATTGCTTCTGTGTTTGGATTCTTTCTTTTGTGTGCGTGTGTGTCTTGCATCATCCAAGCCTCCAATATGATTTAATAGGGAAATTGGGAACATCTGGTAGCTACTTTAACGAAAACAGGTAAAGCATGAAAATCTGACAATACTGAATCCTGAAAGTTGCGTCAGTGATCAAGATGCTTGACAATAACACTTTCATTCATTATTAGACTGTCTGATTCAAACATGCCATTCTGAAAAGAATTGCAACTTGGAGGGCCAAATTTCCACCCACCAGATGCACAAAACATCTGTTCGTGAACAACATTTCTAGACTACTTTTGCAAGCAGTAGCCTGAAAGACTTGCTTCTGGGCTCATCAGTACATGAAGAAGGAGATTGAACTAGATGGTCTATAGGACCCCTCCAGTCTACATATTGTTCTTGTTTAAGTACCCCAACCTGTTCTTCAGGCAGCATGCTGGTTGGTAGCTATGAACATTTACTTGTTACTCCTGTCGTCTGGCATATGGGAGGCTGGTTACACTTACTGAAAAACATTTCTAGTGCTTATGAACAGCAAACATAAAAAAGCCAAGAAGAACAGCATATAATAAGGGTGGAAACTTTATTTATTAAAAATAAATAAGAGCAAATGCAGCATTCTATCTGGAATTTCTCTAGTAGATTGGACAGCACAGTACACAAAGGCTGTGGTCTTCTATCCGCTTACCTGATAGTGAC